CCCTATTATACAAATACTTTTATCGAAGAAAAGAACTATTAGGTCAGGTAGTTAGCCCCAAGTTAGTTACTGAACAAGCGATCAGTTGCTTAGTGGAATTGTTCGGAGTTGGTTTTCAAGTCTATACATACACCCTCAATGTCTCTGTAACAGATATGAAAGAAATCAACAATAAATCCCTTGTTTTTCATTTTCTTCGAGACCGATTGTCAAGTTCTGTTGAAAAGTACCAATTAAGCCCGCCACATTTCAAGTTTTCAACCCCCCCCCAAATATTACAAATAACTTGAGCATTTAGTTCCCCCAAAACTTCTGAATTAATATGATAAATCTTCTTTACCAAAAAAGAAGTCTAAAATTTTTTCCCAATCCCAAGTTACAAACTACGCTGAAGTGAACAATACGTGAATCCAAAATTTGTGAGCATCAAATTATGCATTTAGTTAAAATATCAAAAGATGAACATATTCCAGCGAAAGAAAATAATAACAATAATTACACATTTGTATCGAATTTAATAGGGAGAAGACCAAAATACCTTAGGTTGCAACAAGTCAGTGTAAGAAACAGCAGCTCCTCTTCCAATACACACTCCCCTTAGTTTTATGTATAAAGAAAGAAAGAGAATAAATTATGTATTGTGATTGATGTTGAATCTATATTTCACAAGGAGAAGCTCACTCTCTTTTATAGAGAGGAGAGTATTGTACATAGGATGCCAAATGCACCGAAAGCAGAAACAATAAACATTACAATAAACATTTTACTTTACATGTATATAATATATGCTAATGTATGACAGCTATATATGACACTAACATTATAATATACTAACAGCCCCCCTCAAACTCAAGGAGGAGAGACACAAACCAACTTGAGTTTGGAGAGAGTAACAAAACGTGAAAATAAAATAAAAATAGGATAGGAGACACTGTCTGGTCGTATCAGACCGTTGTAGGAGCTAACCGAAATCAATGTCGAGACAGTTTACGGGGTCATGCCGGACCGATGTAGCAGACACTGTGTGGTCGTGTCAGACCGTTGAAGAAGCTAACCGGAATCAATGTCGGGACAGTTTACGGGGTCATGCCGGACCGATGTCGGGACAGTTTATGGGGTCATGCCGGACCGATGTCGGGACAGTTTACGGGGTCATGCCGGACTGTTGTAGCAGACTTTGGTGGTGCACCAAGGGGGCGACTTAGGAAGTGCGCCATGGGGTGGCTTGAGTGGTTCCCATGGTATATAACCATGCTCATCAGCTTAGGTGGTTCGCATGGTGTGTAACCATGCTCACCTTGATATATTTATAACCCCCCCTCAAACTCAAATAGGTGTGAAGATAGAAACCTATTTGAGGTTGAAACCATGATATATGTATAACCCCCCCTCAAACTCAAATAGGTGTGAAGATAAAAACCTATTTGAGGTTGAAACAAAGGGATTGAGAAAGTGGAGCAAAACGGCTCAACATAAAGTGGAGATGTTAAAAAAAAAAAAAAAAAATTGGTAGAAAGGGTTTTTTTTTTATTTTTTTTTTGATTACGAAAAAAGGAAGATAAAATAAAATAAATAAAAGGAAAGTAGGGGTAATGTGAATCAGCAAGAGTTTTTGAAAAAAAAAAAAGGATGGTGAAAAGTGAGACAACTCATGGTATTAAAGTATAGAATAAATTAAGTAATGAAAAAAAAAAAGTGTTGTTGTTTGTTGGAATAAAATATATATATATATATATATATATATATGAAAAAGGAAAAGGATAAATACGGGAATAAGAGGAAGGAAAAGAAAAATAGTTTGTCAAAAGCAAAGGGACATGCCCATGTGGGTGTCATGATAAGAAAAGCAAAAAGAAAGAAAGAGAATATTGGTTTAAAAATAAAAAAGGGTATGGGTATGTGCAAAAGGTGGTGGATGATGGGTTGGAAAGTGGTCACCCTGGTGGATGTCCTTGAGTAGAGAGAGAGAGTGAGGGGCCATGGGAGAGGTCTTGGAATTGTGTGATCAAATGGGAGAGGTCTTGGAATTGTGTGATCAAACACAACTTTTCTCGATCTGGAAAAGTACTGGATACAGCGTGAACGAGATGAATGGTGTCGACGAGGCGGTAGAGGTTGACGAGGGCCCAATCGAAGGCGTGCTTGCTGTTGGGGCCATGATCGACGGCGATGAGGATGTCGCGGCCGCGACGTCTCTTGTCGGTTTCTCTCTCAAGTTCAAGCTCGGCCACCACCGATCTTAGATGCCACGGTGGACAGTGCTGAAAGTAAACATTTCAGCAATGATATTGAAGGGTCTTCGATTAACATCAATCCCAGATGTGTAAAATTGGATAATCAAATCATGATTGAGTGTGCTGAAGAGGGTTACACCAGCCGCCATTGTCGTTGGGTAGTGCATAGTTGGGAAGGCAGAAGTTGGTGGAGGTGACCAAGATGGATGATGGTGATGATGCTGTGATCTTGAAGGTGAATTTTGAATTGGGTTTAGTGAAGTAGTGGTAGTACTGAAGAGAAGAAATGGTGGTTGTTGTAGCCATAGCCATGATCGTTATGATGAGCGGAGTTCTGCCATGGAATTTGTTAGAAACTACTGCAGCAACAGCAACAACAACAGCATCATAAGAGTGCTGCATGTGTGGAGATTTTGGTCTCTCTCATGAACTCTTCAACTGCAAAGTCTGCCTATATAGATCTCAGCACTGGTACTGTAGCAATCTGTATCCAAAAGCTGAGTCATACCAAGTCTGCAATTGGTGCCTGAGTCAAAGGTATGACACAACAAAGAAAACAAACTCTTCCAATTCAACATCATATAGTAGGAACAACTGCAACGAAGATGATCAATTGATCATCAACAACAACAAGATCAAGATCAAGATCAAGAAGAATAGTTTGTGGCAGCGGAGTGAAGGTATGTGTAGAGGTCCGGCGGGCGGCCAAAGCGAGGCTGCCGCCCGCCGGTGAAGCATAATTACTGGTTCTTAACCTAGCTCTGATACCAAGTTAGTTTTATGTATAAAGAAAGAAAGAGAATAAATTATGTAGTATGATTGATGTTGAATCTATATTTCACAAGGAGAAGCTCACTCTCTTTTATAGAGAGGAGAGTGTTGTACATAGGATGCCAAATGCACCGAAAGCAGAAACAATAAACATTTTACTTTACATGTATATACTATATGCTAATGTATGTCAGCTATATATGACACTAACATTATAATACACTAACAAAGCCAAGCCATCTCCCATCGTTCTCGCTATCGCCATGGCCTTCACGCCATCCCTAATCCTCGCCAAAACGTCGCCGTCTTCTTCTTCTTCTTCTTCGTTTAGGCAAGACATCAATTTATCGCGATTGCGCATCAAACCGCAGATTCTATCGAACTGGTCGTTTTGGCGGGAAATGAGGCTGAGGAGCTCGATGAGGCGGAGGGCGGCGCGGAGGTCGGAGGAAAGCAAGATTGAAGCAGCCCGTTTGGATCCGATGATTTCAAGAGAAAATAAAAAGGAAAACAAAAATCTATATTGATGAGAAAAGGGACAAATGCGGATAAATATATGAATCTCTCCAATATGTGAATACATTCCGATACTTTTTTAATTTTTTTTTATATGAATTGAATTTATATTTTTGCCTAAATTAATCACATTATAAAGTTTATTTTCTCCTCTCATTCTTTTATTTGTTTTTATTTTTTTTATTCAAATAATAATAACTCATTCTTTCATTTTTTTTAGTAGCCCCTGGGTTCAACGGAAAGGGTCGGCTTAAAAATATTTTCAAGCCAATTTTGACTTTCTGTTATCTTTTGGTATGACACTCTTTTACTTCACCTAAAGTGGAGTCTTCTCCCGAGACAGAAGTATGCACTATCCCCATTTTTAAGAGATCAAAAAAAAAAAAACTCAATTCTTTTATCTTTATTTTTCTAAATTATCAAAGAGAGAGAAATTAATATATTTTTTATTTTCTTTTTTTTTTTTGTTATATATGAATCCTCAATCCAATATCATACTTATAATGGATAATCTTGACGACACTTTTTTTTCCCTTGTTTTGGCACTTGTGTGTGAGAAAAAACAAAGTCAAGATTTGATTGTTTGAAAATATTGTTGGGGATCAAATCTTTCTCATTCAATTTTTATCACATATTCAATGGCTACGCAAATAAGCAACAGTTAAAACAATGGTTTTAAAATTGTTGGACTTGGATTAACATAACCCATAAGAAATGAACAAGTGCTATCACATTTCCAAGGCACAATGCCAACTATTTTGTGGAGCGACAGAGAATGAAGTGAACATACAATTCATTCTCCTAGCAGCTAGGAACTCCAACTGAATTTGTTGCATCACATCATCAGTTTCCCACTCGAACCTGAGAAGAGAAAAAAGAAAGGTTCTCAAGGTCTCTCAAGAGCATGTTGCTTTTTCAACCAGTTAACCAACCACAAGAATGAGAGAGAAAAATAGAAGGCTTACCATAAAAAACTACTATTTAACTTGTAATGCAAACTCAATGCGTTCAATGAGTTGGTTTGCATTCTAAGCCCCCTCCTGAATGTTATTAAACCACTACAGGAAATATTAGATTTGGCGGCGTATTTTTAACGGCGTTTTTAAAAACGCTACTGTTTGTAATATTTAATGGCGTTTCATAAGCGTCGCATTTTTTTCTAATCAAAACGGCGCCGTTTCATGAATAGAAGACGTTTATCAATGCCTTGAAATGGTTTTGTCCCGCACGCTCCTCTCCCTGTTTCACCTTTATTTTGAATCTGACTCTGACTCTCACTCTCGCTCTCACTCTCGCTCTCTCTCTCTCTCAAAATCGAAATCGTTTCGAATCGGTGATCTTACATCGGTGATTCATCAGAAATCTTTCAAAATCGAAGTCAGAGCTTCGAAGATCTTACATCTCCTCTCCCTGTTTCACCTTTATTTTGAATCTGACTCTGACTCTCACTCTCAGTCTCACTCTCGCTCTCTCTCTCTCTCAGAAATCTCCAGACACAGATTGAGCTAAATCATTAATAAGATCATGCATGACAAAACAAGATTCTCTGGCACTTTGTTGAAATAATGACATTGACAACAATTCATTGAAGCATTCATAACCTACTTCTTCCATTGTTGTGTTACTTCTTGGCTTCAAAAAACCTTCTGCTATCCATAACAGAACTAATTCCTCCATTTTAAATTCATAACCTTTGGGAAATATGGAACAATAAGCAAAACATCTCTTTAAATGTGAAGGGAGATAATGATAGCTCAATCTTAAGGACAGAAGAATGTTATCCTTTGGCAAATCCCAAATAGCACTTTTCAATATATTGCTCCAATCCTCAGCATCTCGTTTGGAGCGCAAAAGGCCTGCCAATGTTTTTGTAGTTGAAGGCAGACCTTTGCATTTTTTCACGATCTCTTTGCCAATATTTTCAAGTTTTGGATGTGAATTGATATCTCCCTTCTCAAAAGCATGTTTGGCAAACAATTTCCAGCAATCTTCAAATGGCAATTCCTGCAAACGATGAATAGGAACGGTTTGCATGACAGATGCAACTCTCTCATTGCGCGTTGTAACAATAATCCTACTCCCACGTGCGCCATATCTAAAAGGACAACTCAAGCTGTCCCAGTGATCATAGTTCTCGTTCCAAACATCGTCCAAGACGATAAGAAATTTCTTCCCACTCACCAACTCCTTCAGCTTGACTTGAATCATATCTAGGTTCTTGGCATCACAAGTTTGTTGAGTAATTGCCTCAAGAATTACTTGGTTAACCCTTAAAACATCAAATTCATTAGAGAGACAAACCCATGCTTTCATTTCAAAGTGATTGCACACTCTGTGATCATTATATAAAAGTTGAGCAAGGGTGGTCTTGCCAACCCCACCCATCCCCACTATTGGAATCACATCTATCTCATTACTACTACCACTTGCCTCATCATCAACGGGGAGCAACAACTTCATTATATCCTCCTTGCCAACATCCCTTCCATAAACACGTGATTCATCGACCAAAGAAGAAGTTTGCGATCTGTGAAACAAGTTATTATGTCCAACAACTTCTCTCAAACCAAGAACATCTTTTTCTTTTGCAAAATATTCTAATCTATCGATGATCTCCTCTATCCTGGACTCTATCCCCGCATCAAACAAACTAGCAGTAGTAGTAGTTGTCAAGGTGAGGGGGTTTATACTTAGTACCTGGCTTAGGTCGATGCTGATGCTGATGCAGCTTTGGAAGTCAGCTTCTAACTTGGACCGCAGAGCTTCAGTAGCAATCTCATCTACTAAGTCATCCGCATGGTAGACAACATCTTTAAGCTCTTCCACCCACTCTTTCACCGCTGGATTAGTGATTTGCTTGTCCTCTGCATCATTAAGCACAGCACTAAGTCCCAGCAACAATAGCTTGAGCTTCCTGAGAAGGAGGAGGATTCTATCACCATGGTTTTTTCCATGGAAGAAGTTAATGACCTCGCGAGAGGCCAACCGATCAAACAACACTTGAATGGTAGCTGAGAGAAATGCACCCCCAACCAAATCAGCCATGCTTTTCTTCTCTTTTCTTTTCTTTTCTTTGCAAAGGAAGGATAGGAACGAAGATCAGTTTGCTATTGCTCCGTCAAAGCCGAAAGGCTCTGTTTTCTAATCTCTCAATTTTTTTCGAATAATTAAAAATTAATTTCAAACACTCGCCATTATTTTTGAATGATTTTTCAAACACTCCAATCTAACTTCAGTTTAATTTCAAATACTCACCATAAAATTTTTATTATATTAACTCAAATAATAATAATAAAAAAAAACATTATATTTAATTAAAAACAAAAATAAAACTTATATTAGCATTAAAATTTGGAAAAATTAGTCTAAGGTCCCTCTCCCAATTTCAGTAATGGAAGAGATCCACAATATTATTAGATAGTGTTTAAGGTCCCTCAACCCCACACCCATGTATTACAGAGAAATTTGGTATAAGTTTCAAACCTTCACCCCTCTCTTTCTCAGACTCACGCCTCACCTCTTCCAAACCCACTACCCAATTCACAAATCCGATCCCGCATTTCATTCGGAACCGGCACAACGGCCAATAGCACGAGAGCTTATCAAGTACCATAAAACTATTGTACAGTAGGTTTCTTCACCATAACAGAGTGAGAGAAGTGAAGAAGGTTCAATGGCTAGTCAAACCAAACCCAAACCAGCCCTTCCATGGAAGATCAAACTCTTACTCTCCGCCTACACCTTCTCCATCAACACCTCTCGCCGCTCCAACGGCATCGTCAACCGCCGCCTCACCACTTTCCTCGACCTCAAATCTCCTCCCTCCGCCACCAAACCCATCCACGGCGTCACTATTTTATACATGAAGTTCATGATTGCTAATTGTAATTTGTGACTTCTATTAATTAGATTTAAATAATTAAAAAAATTGTTGCATGCTACTGTTTGTTTTCCGAAGCACTGGAGCACCGAACCACCTATAGCATGTATGATATAGCCCACTGTTTCAATAGTACATGATTAGGGATTTACATTCATTTAAATATTAATATTTGATTTTGCATGTTGTTTGGTTCCAGAGAAATTTGAATTTTCTCTAGTTTATAAATGAACCCAAAGAAATTTGAATTTGAATTTGAATTTGAATTTAAATCCAAAGAAAATTGGTCAAAATGAATCTAGAGAAATTTGAATTTTCTCTGGGTTGAACCCAGAGAAATTCTTTGGGAAGTCCAGAATTTCTCTGGATGAAATTTCAAATGAGCAATTCATTGAGAACAATGCCCACCAAGTGTTTTCAGAAAAGTACCAAAGCTGTGTTATCTGAAATTAGGTCTTTAATTTTCTTTCAATGGACTGTTTGGCTTCTGAGAAAATCAGAATTTCTCTGGGAAGAGAATTTCTCTGGTGATGGATCCAAAATTTCTCTAGTGATGGCTTCTGAGAAAATCAAAATTTCTCTGGGAAGAGAATTTCTCTAGGATGGATCCAGAATTTCTCTGGGAACAAAATTTCTCTAAGATGGATCTAGAATTTCTATTTGTTACAGATATGTGACGTATTCTCAGCTGTGAATGTGGACTGCTATGAGCGCTTGCCTTTTGAAAGTGCTTGAGCTCGTAGATTGGAAGGAAACTTTCTTTTGCATGCTAAGGTGGTTGCTTAGAGTGTAATTTGTGCTCTGCTACTGATATATCTACAAATAGGTTGCTGGAGTTGTGTCAAGTAGCTCCTGCTATTGTTGCTGTCAATGGTAGCCCAATTTTGAAGGTAATTAGGTTCCTGTCATTTTGTATTGTAACCCAGTAGATAGGTGGTCCTCAAGACAACCTTGAACAGCTTGGGGTTTGCCCTTGTAGATTGTACTCTTTTTTCAATAAAATCAAAATTTCTCTAGAGAAAAACAGAGAATTTCTCTGGACAAAATTTCTCTGGACCAGAATTTCTCTGGATCAAATTGAGAGACCTTAGACATTATGAAAATATTAGATGTCTTTTATACTATAAAGTCTTAATACCAAGGACCCTAAAAAAAAAACCCCTTAAAATTTTATCTTACGTTTAACAAGTTGGATATAGTTTATGTAAGATTCAAAAATGTCATTTGACATGGGTAGGCCCATAAAGGTTATAACCCACCATTTAGGGCCCAATACATATCCCAAATACTAGAGCCCAAAACTGCTGAAGCCCCGTGTAGCAATAAGAACCAATGACATCAAGACACATGGCAAGAGAAGGGCAAGCCACATCAGCAGACAAAGATCTGCAAAGTTATTACCACGGTACATCGCCATTAATGAGGCCCCCTTACAGCATTTATTGCGATAACCCTTCTTCGTCAGGACGACACGCCCTCACCCTGAACAAGGGAAGCTACAGCATAGACTTTCGGCCAAGGCGACAGGTCGGAAGGGACAACGAAATGATTACCAGAGGATATAAGCAGACGTTGAAGACAAGCAGAAGGTTAAGCTTTTCTATCTCTAATCTATCTCTACAATCCACTTCTCTTTCTAACTTACTCGTCGGAGGGTTCGCTGGGGGACTCCCCGTTCCCCGTTGAACTCTTGTGCAGGTTCTCTGGTGGGTTTGATCACTCGGATACCGGTTGGAGAAGCGTGGATCAGGCCGACCCGTCCAAGTCTCTTGTAGTATTATCATCATTAAAATGTCATTTTATGTTTAATAAAATATGTAACTAATTTTTTATTGGAATTTTTTTTTAAGGTCCACAATATTAAGATTTTATAAGATAAATGACATATAATATTTTCATAGTAGTTGAGATCTCTCAACATTTTCACAGAAAAATTTGACTCAGACAAATTTGTGTCCGACGCAGAGAAATTTCAACTCCCACAAAGAAAAATTTCAATTTTTACAAAGAAATTTATCTTATTTCACAAAGAAAATTTGAAATTTATCTGATATGATAACATAGAAAATTTGAAATTTCTATGATATGATTACAAAAAAATTTCATTAAGGGACCTTAGATAATAAAAAAAATATCTTTAACCTCTCCTATTATACAAAGTTAAAGAAAGATGTTTTACTAATTTTCCCATTATATTATTGGATTAAGTCATATACACGTTTTTTGTTCATAAATAATCAACCTCAACCGGATAATTTCGTCTACAATTCAAGGCGTACTTTACTATTATTCCTTGGTAAAAAAAATTCAGTGGGTCATGCCCCACGGCCCACGTCCAACGCGTGTTCCGTTTTCACACGTATGGACCCCTTTCAGAGATAATCTAAGGAGAAATTACCAGGTTATTCCACAAATTTATTAAAAAATTTATATTAATATCTATATAGTTTATCACTTATTTATAATTATTTTTTAAAATCTCAACTCAATTTTCCCATAATTTAATCATGTCACAATTTTGCAAATAGACAACAATGTGGGACGAGATAATTAAATTAATGATAAATAATTTTTAGATAAATTACAAATACACTTTATGAGATTTGTTTAAAATAAAAAATGTCTCATGTAATTCTGAGAACATTTAAATTATAAATATTCTATTGTCATAATTTTTTATTTAACAGAATTAATAAATAAAATAAAATTTCTAACTACTTTACTATAGAACAATAAAATTATCAAAATTGTTAATTAAAATATATTTCTGAAATTATTAAAAATTATTAATTAATTTATTAATAAAAAGGATCATTTTATTTGAAAATTTAAGCAAACATTTGCAATTTACCTATAATTGTTTATATGTCAATGTAGTTATCATAACAACATGCTAGAAATTTAAAGTTTTAAGCCAACTTTAGGAGGTGATTCGTAATTTACACTATAATTTAATTTTTTTAATATGTCAATGTTATTATCATAACAACTATGAAGAAATTTACTAAATATATACACCCAAACCTTCGCGTAATGCCGCTAAATTTGGTGTCCAAACTTTAACCGCATATTGCGTAACAACTTTCTAGCTTATACTATTATTAAGTGAATGATAGGCTTGGAGATCTATCTATCTTCTATATCTATGCTATTAGGGTATATTTGTTTGGACAACCTGAATAAAAGGGATTGTAATTCACCGGATTGTTAGTCTTGGGATACATGGTCCCCGAACTATTTGGTTGAACTGGATTTGTATCCCATGTTCGTTTAATCTAGATGTTTGGATTGGACTATTCTATTGAATCCTATATTTGTTTGAGATATTATGGAGAAGGATAAATGTTCAAAAGACTAGTTTGCCCTTTTGAATTATTTACTAAATAATAGGAATATTAAATTGGAATTAGAAATTTTATTTAATTTTTTTACTAGAACTTTTAAAAAATTAAATAAATTGAATATTAATAAAAATTACATAAATTTATTTTAATTTGTAGTTGAGATTTTTTAATTTTATTTTACTTTACTAAGTATAATTAATACCATATGATTATTAAAATAAATAATTTAATAAAGTATAAATAATTTAATAAATAAAATTTATTAAGTATAATTTGATAAATAAATTTTATTTTTAAAAAGTATTAAATAGTAGAGGGTCCAAAATGTAATTTCACTACCTAATCCCATGGGATGAGTTATCATATGGATTGTGTCCCACACTATAGAACAATCCCATAGATTTGAGATTCATAGCCCGGTACAAAAATTTTGAATCAAACAACGGACTGTTAGTCCAAATGGACTATTAGTCATATCTCATGCTTAAATCCTTCCAAACAAACAACGCCTTATATATGTGAATACTGGATTAATATCCAAATCTTACTATTATATATGTGAACACTGGACTCGGTGTCCAAACCTTCTCCTCATGTCACGTGATAGATTTTTGAATGTTAAAATAAAAATTATTATAAAATAAAATAAAAATATTTTATTAATTACACTAAGTGATAAAAATTATTATATGCTAGTGTCTGTATCAATTTTGAACTTTGTTCATACATTCTTATTTCTAGGAGGTTTCCAACCTAATTGTCGCATTCTCTGAGAAAATAAAATAACAAGAGTGGCCTATGTTATCCTTTTTTTGTTTTTTAGATAGGGATGACCTATGTTATTTTATTCGTCTTTTTTTTTTTTTTTTTTTTTTTTTTTTTTTTTTTTTTTTTTTTTTTTTTTTTTTGTTTTGATATTTTAAACCTTTTGCCTTTTTCTCTAATGTTTCATCTTTGCATGTT